TTATAAGCTACATATTTTATTATTATTTTGAATTTAGTTAATATTAACCATCATTACTTTAATTCTTATATAATATCACTATTGTCTATAATTACTATAGATTTTTTAAGGAGAATGACATTATCATTATAGCCCTGATGGTTATATGTCCCCAAATATCATGAAATTGAATAATAAACTAAAACTAGAACACATACACAAATTCTAACAGTTACATATATGATGCATATTCAAAACTATTAACAGGATCTTTTCCAGCTGCCTCGCCAGCTGACTTTCATTAATTCAGAGAGCATTTGGAAATATATTTTGTTGTATGACACAGTTATGACTTAAGGAGAACCTAAATGTCATATGCAACATGACACAGAATTTGGGAACTAGAAGATATCTTAGAGATGAAGATTAAGAATTCACACTAGTCACGATATCATCATATCTTGCCTAGCCTACTAATATTTATCCATAATCAGTGGTCCCATAAATTCCCATCACCTATCTGTCCACCAAAAACCTAATCAAGGGTTAATCATCAAATTACTGGATCCTAATGCTTAAAAAATAAAACCCAAATTCTTCAGTGTGAAGTTATCCTTACCACCTTCATCCCAGCACCTCTTCCCTCCACAGTCTGGACCCAACAGGCTGGCTGGCTGCCTGTGCTTCCAACACAGTATGCACTTTACTCCTCTCTACAGTTAAATTAAATCAACAGGAGATCATGGGCCTGAGGCTCTCTTTGAACTTTAAGTTTGCACTTAACAAACTGAAACCTAACTTGGGAGTACAGTTGTCCCTTGGTATCAATGGGGGATCGGTTCTAGGACCCCTCGAGGATACTTAAATCTGCAGATTTTCAATCCCTGATATAAAATGGCATAATATTTGTATATAACCTATCCATATCCTCCCATATACTTTAAATCATCTCTAGATTACTTATAATGCATAACAGAATGTGAATATTATATTTTTATTTGTATCATTTTTATTACTGTATTGTTATTTTTATTGGCTTTTTTTTTTTCAAATATTTTCAATCCACGGTTGGTTAAATCTGTGGATGCTAAACCAGTAGAAACAGAAGACCAACTATATGTTTCGTGTAACAGCTAAGTGTCAGTCAATCACAAACAACTGAGCTTCAGCCAATCAAAGGCAGCCAACGGATTAGACCATGCTGAAATAAGGCAAATGCCTCATCACACTATGCCCAAAGAGGGCAAACACCTAGCTGTAGCCAATCAGATGATTTCGGTACGTTGTTTCTACGTTCAAACTATAAAAGTTTGCTGCTCACACTGCTGGGTGGAGTTCTCTTTACCTCTTCCGGTTCTCAGTGCTACCTGATTCATGAGTCATGCTTTGCTCAAATAGACTCTCTTATATTTGTCTATAGTTTCTCTCTTAACACTTTGCTAACAGCAATCTGCCTAGAATCTCGTCTTTCCTCGTTTCCCTATTGAAATTCTACTTAAATTCAAGGCCTATCTCAAATTATGTCACCTCTGGGGTCTCCATTTACCCTACATACCTTACTCACAATTAACTATTTTCTTTTTTGCCCCCATGGCTTTTTAAAAATATCTATTCTAACATTTATTATAACTTCACTAAATGTAATATGCATCTTCCTACCTCCCTCACTAGATTGTGAGTTCCCTCGTACACAGACAAGATCGTATTCATTTCTTTCCTTCCTATTTAGTATACTACCTTGCACATAGTAGGTACTCCACAAACTTAAGCTAAATGAAATGACAGAACCATTCTCTCCTAAAACAGAAATGATCTGTTTTTTAATACAACACTAAAAATCATTTTCTCAGCCAGGCACAGTGGCTCACACCTGTAATCCTAGCACTTTGGGAGGCCAAGGTAGGAGGATAGCTCGAGCCCAGGAGTTCAAGACCAGCCTGAGCAAAATAGCGAAACCCCATCTCTATAAAAAATTTTAAAAATTAGCAGGGCATAGTGGTGCACACCTGTAGTTCCAGCTGTTCTGGAGGCTAAGACAGCAGGATTGCTAGAGCCCAGGAGTTTGAGATTGAAGTGAGCTAGGATGGCACCACTGCACCCTACCATGGGCAACAGAGCTAGATACTGTCTCCCAACAACAACAAAAAAAATCATTTTCTCTAAAGTTCTTAAGAATAAGTAATATAAATTGAAAGTATAATTTTAGAGTACTTTCACATATTAAATATTTACACATTTAAATATAATAGATATCAGAACTACTGTATTTTAAAACTTCTTTCCATTTAGCAATCCATTTTCTTGTAAATATAGACTAATAGTACTTCACAGTACATTTAGTCACAACAAAGACATGAGCTCTCCAACGCCCTTGCAGTAGGGAGAAGTTCTCGGAGGTTTTGGACCACTGGGTCTAAGAATGTTGGAAATAGGTCTCAGAAACAACAGGAGTGTTGCTCCTTCCAGAATGTAGCTGAGTGAGCTGCAATGAGCAGCAGAATGGGGAAGAAAGTGGTGCCCTAGAGCTAGGAAAGCCAGGGCAGTGCAGTTTAAGTTCAGTGAAACCAGAGCCTCCTGCTGATTTCGTACTGATTCTGCCACCTATTGACCACATTATGAATCAAGGCACTGCGAGTGACAAGGAACTTGAACTATTACAGTATGATCAATCAATAGTTATTGAGTGCTATAAAAAAATGGCAGTTTAGTATCATTAAAATTTGTTTTGGCTATATTATGAATGTCTGGAATATGCTATGATACTTAATTGATTCCTTAAATGTCCTTTCAGAAATAAATTTTAGTAAAAGTAATGGTACTAAAAGGTGCCCAATTCTGATTTGTCCTTAAATATTCAAAATTAGGAAAGTTGAAGTAGTGTCACATAGAAAATTCAGAGAATCAAAGTTAAGAGGAATGGAAATGCAGCATTCTCAGCAATGCATACATGAGAGCCTTTATATGAATTTTGTTTGGTTTTGCTTTAGTTTGATTAGGTTTTAGCAGCTGCAGCAAGAATTGCTTTGATTATAACTGATTAGCTCTACCAAGTGCTGCACTAAAGAGCATAAAATTCTCTTGCTGAATTAACAGTTGTATTAAAGCATCAATAACTAAGACAAAAAAGCAAAACATACAAACAGCATCAGGTTAAATGAAAGAGAAAAGGGAAATAATATTTAAGCGCCTGCTAGCTACAAAGAACCGTGCTGGATGCTTTAAATATATAACCATATTTAATTCTCATAACACTACTAGGTAAACATTAGTCTACTCATTTTATGGATGACAAAATTCAATCTCCGAGGTTACAAGTATCACGGCTGGAATGCAAGTATGTGTGACTATATTTCCTCTGGCTTTTCCTACTATACCACACTACCTTTAGAAAGTCTATAATGGGTTTTACACTTGTCTCCCTGTCTCTAACTTCAGTTTCTTCATTTGTAAAATAAAGAGTCTGTGCTTAAGCATTTGTAAGGTCCAGACTAACTCTAAAATTTTATGAAATCTATGATTCTTGTAGCATTCAATCCAAATAAATCAATAAGCAACAGAGCAACTACTCCACTGAAAATGGGCAGACAATTGGAGGGAGAAGTTTACAGAAAAAGAAATGACAATTGCCTAAGAATAGAAGAAAAGCTGCTCAACTTCGCTTCTAATTTAAAAAGTAAAAATTATAACACCAATGATTTACCATTTTCAGCCCTGAGATGGGCAAAGGTTGTGGGAAAACATATACATTCTCGTTGACGCTGTAAATTGGCGCAAACTCCTTGGAAGGTAATTTTGTAATATCTTTTAAAATGTTAAATGTACCCTTGTAATATTTA